CACAAAAACTATTTTTCATGAAATTTAAAAATTTAAATTTAAAAATTTAAATTCATATTTGAGGACTGCAGTAAGCTATATAGCCCCAGCTAGGTGCTACTTTGTTGTATGTTCATTCTACTCACTGAGGTTTATGCCTAGGGTCAGACTTGTGTTCATGGATATGTATATATCAGCTGTGCTTGCTATTGGAAGTATTTAGATTAATTAAGTTCTTTAGCAAATAAATCAAGTGGGGGGAAAAGGCATAGAAAGCAACTGTGGATAACAGAGTGTAGGAGGAGGGTGGGACATGGCAGATGGTGAGAGATAAGGAATCACGAATGGCAAAAATAACAAAATATACAGGAAATAGGAAATGGAAAACTGTTTGTTGACGATAACACGTATGTTGATGTGCTTGACTGAGCCAATATACAGTGAATTCTGGATGGGAAAATCTCATTTTGTTTGCTGTGATGATGTATAGTGAATGAATGTAAATAAATAAATTTAAAAAAAAAGAAGAAAAAAAGAATAAATAGGACTATAGGGCAATGAATGGTTAAGCAGACAATTTTGTATCCAAACCTTCTGACTTTGAACACTTGCTCCACTACTTCCAGCTGTGTGGTCTTGGTCAAGTCATTTAATGTCTCTGTGCACATAAAAGATTTAAGTACTTCCTGTGTGTAAAATAGCAATAAGAGCATCTACTTCGTGGATACTGTTGTGAGGATAAAATAAGTTAAAAAATGTAAATACTCTGAATAATGCCTAAGTATATTAACTACTCAGTCAGTTACTGATGATGTTGTGTGGCTCAGTGTTTTTAATCCATTAAGAAATCAAGGAACACTTACTGAATTGAATTTTTCCTCCTTTCCTTATACACTACAGATCCTAGGCTCCCTCCTCTTGTCCTCTGACTGTACCCAAGATCCTCACCTCTGCAATAACTCACAGGGGCCCCTGGGTCCGGGGGTCACGACTGGAACGCAGGGCCTTTATGATGAAGACGGTACCAACGATGATGCCCACCAGGCCCAGCACCAGGCCCAGGGCACAGACCACAGTCTCCGTCGTCTCAGGCACCAGGACCGGCTCCTGGGCCTCTGGGGGAAGAAGGAAGAGATGGGGTCAGAAGGTGCAGGAAGGGGTGGGGCAGGCCTGGGATATGTGTGATGGTTGGAGGTTATGGACCATTTGGTGACAAGTTAGAATAAGGTGAGGATGGAGCCCCAGTGAGCCAGAGAAACTGGTGCAGAAAATATCAGGTCCTGAGAGTAAATGGTGCCAGGGAGATTTGGGGGAGCAAAAGAGGCTTCATACCCCAATGCATAAGGAGTGGCTCTTCCAGGCCCCAGTGCTCCACCCTGCAGTCATAGACATCCTCGGCTGAGGGCACGAAGGTCAGGTACAGGAACTTGTGGAATCTGAACTCTGTGGTAGGCAGGAAAAGGCTCTCAGCAACACCGTCAGTGACCGGCTGTCCGTTGCGCAGCCACGTCACATTGAGCACCGGAGGGAAAAACTTGTCCATGTGGCAGATGAGGACGTTGGGCTGGCCCAGCTCCACGGACTTCTTTGGAAACACGGTCACCTCAGGAGGCTCTGGGAGAAGACAGGATCTGGTGAGTCCCCTGTTCTGGGACAAATCATAGAAGCTCACCTTTGGGGCCCCATCTACTTCGGGTTCAGACATTCCATTATCAATCACTCCCAGTTTAGCCTCCTTCTTGGGTGCAAAGGTGTGACGCAACCCCTCAGCTGTCCTGGAATAAGCCCAAGGGCTCTCAGGGGAGGAGGACGACTCAGTGGTGGGCATTTGACTCACCCACTCTGGGTGAGGGGAAGGGCCCTCCCTCCCTTCCCAGCTCGACAAGGGAAGAAGCAAAGATGGGCAGTACCGTTGGAGGCCTGGGTGTGGTTGGAACGCTGCGTCAGGACATTCAGGTATGACTTTACTACGGCAAAGTTCTGCAGAGCACCTTGAGCATCAAAGGAAAAGGCATGCCCAAACTCCTCCAGACTCCAGATTGTCTCCCTCTTGTCCTGGTCCACGTAGAACACCTCATCCCCATCCAACTGGGACATATACTCCCCTGAGGGTCTGTGTGTTTGTGTAAATGCCAAATAAGTTGATACATGGTCCGCTGTATAAAGAAAGTAGAGAAAAGCATGAAAAAATATTAAGTATGAACATGTAAGCAGTAGAGGCCAGAGACTGTTGAGAGAGAAAAAAAAAGGAAAAGAAAGCACTACGGATACAGCTGAGATAATTAGTAACAGTCCAGGGCACAGGGCAATCAGGTCCAGCGTTCACAGTATGAAATGGGTTCTTTTCCCAAACTCAGGAAGCATTAGAGACATGGACACAGAGAGTAGGTACAGTAAAGCAGGGAGTTTATTGAAAGAGAGGGAAGGGAAAACAGGGCTCCCAAGAAGAAGGTAAGGGTCTCAGAAAATGGGTTGCAAAGAGGAACAGGGATGAGGGTTTTTTATCTGGGTCAGGGGGGGCCTTGTTCAGGCTGGTTCTAGGTGGGGCTTGTGCATGCATTCCCTTGTGGTGCGGAGGGGCACATGCTGGATGGATCTAAATATTTTCCTAATTTTAGAGTGGGTATGAAGGTCAGGAGATCCTTTATCTAGAAGTTTCAGGCAATATAAATCATTATCTAGTCCTCTTCCTGAAATGTAGTGGGGTCCGGAAAAAGACTTTTGTTTTAGGGAAAGGTCACGCTGCCTAGGTTAATCACCAAGCCACCACTGCGAGAGGTCTCTTTGGAGCAAGCAGCTGAGTTGCTTTGTCTCCATCTTAAAACTTACCACTTTGTGATTCCATTTTGGGCTGATACCCTAACTACATTTTAGGGTCCCTGTCTCCTACCTCAGTAATATCTATTAATAATCCTAGAACGTATTCATACCCATATAAAGATATGTTCACTATGGTATTTATTATGACATAACACTGGAAATAACTAAGGTAACTGTCAGCAAGGCAATAGTACTTGGGTTTCTCCCTGTTTTTTTTTTTGTTTTGTTTTGTTTTTTTTGAGAGGTTTTTGCTATAGGGCACGTGTGCTTGCCAGAAACACTGAGAGGGATAGAAAGTGAGAAATCACCCCCCAGGGGGGATGGCCATGCTGCAATCCCTTCTCCTCCATTCTCCTCTCGGGATCTTGGGCACGCACACACACGTGCCTGGTGTGAGTTTAAGCCACTGGGTCCGGTACTCGAACCGCAGTCAGCTACATGGGAGTCCAGCAACATAGCCATGACATCAACTGCTGATCCTTCTCCCTGGCCTTACCTCCTCTTTACTTCTACCCACCAACCCCCACCTTAAATAAAACTGGGGGCCAATGTGCATCTTTTGTTATCAATTCCAAATTTTCATAGCAGTGCATTTAAGATGGCAGGATCAGGATCAGGCTTGATGCTCCCTGAAGTCAGCTGCAGAGAACTAAGCATTCATCATGATTTATAATTGCTGACTGATTCTTCATGCTTATCCAGACTAGACCTCCCAGTGCCGCAATAGTCCTCCTGGTCACTCAGGACCTGAATCACAGGTTAGCAAAAGCTTGAAACATTGCTGTCTTGGAAGAAGAAGGCATGCAACCCACCCTCTAAGATCCTGGCTTAGGATCCTGGGAGGGAGGGAGGAACTCAGGAACACTCTCAGCACTTTCTGTCCTAGATGCCAACACTCAGAGCCCATGCCTTCAGGTCCCCCAAAGCAGCCACAAAAAGTGGGGGATCCAGAAGAGATATGAGGGGTGTGGAACCCGTGTAGGGTTTAACTGAAAATTCACTGTGTGCAGAAGTCTAAGGAATCCAGAGCACAATCAACAGAATTAGATCTGGACTTAAACTTGCTCTGCAGATTGGTGTGTAACCTTAGAAAACATGTTAATCTTTTTGGAACTTTTTAAAAAATCTTTGGCACGGAGGTAATAATACCACCATTAAAGTTTCTTGTGAAATATAAATTCATGTCTAGTAAATTATAAATAGGAGCTCAGTAAATGCCTGCTATTGCTGCTGTTATTAGAAGGAGACAGAATAAATGGGACTCTCACACAAGGGAGTGAAGAGAGAAAGAAGACACAGAGGAAATAGACCAATGAGTAAGTACCCAAAACCTCTAATTCTTAAATCAGCAGTTTGTAGTAGCCTGTCCCCCCTACCCCCACTTCTTTTTTTTTCTTGGAGAGGTTTTTGCTATAGGGCGCGTGCACTTGCCAGACAGAGAGACAGAGAGACAGAGAGACAAAAAGTGAGAAATC